TATTATTTTTTTGGACCTATAAATCATTCAAATATAAAAACGGACTCAACTTAACAAAGAGCCACTTTCAAATAGTATCTTTTGCCATTTTTTTTGCAAACAGTCTGTCACAGTAACACATAATTTCTTCCCGTTTTTTAGCTCTATCTGCAACAAAATGCCAAAGATGACACAATTTGACAGGTATAAAATTATATTTGTGTACCAACAAGGTGATTCCCAAACATAAGTCAAAAACTTACCATGAGCATTGGCCCAAGACGTGTTTTTATGGTATTGTATGAACTTGAGTGTAATTTCCATCCGTGGCTGCATTAACATGTCAACACAATTTTGAGGGTTGCGTTCAAATTTCAGGTTGGACTAGTCCCACCCCTTTTGACTTGCCCCTCCCGTCAGCTGTCAAATCCTTCAAAAGGTCACAAATGCATAGAATTTTTCAATACTCATTTCGTGATGTTGAAGTTCGATCTGACACTTTAGCCTAAATGCAACATTTCTTTCATAATCAGCATTTTTATGACTTTACTGCAGAACAGTAAAGTTTAAGCACATGCTTTAGATGTGACAGACAGTCATGAAGTAAAAGGACAACTTCCTGCGACAATATTTCCTGATTCCAGCTTTTGGAATCAACTGATTCCGGACCCACTGATCATCAGTTGAAATGTTGTTTCCAACATGAATTTGTGTTAACTGACCATTAACATAATGCAACACTGGACAAACATGAGATGTGTCACCAAAGTTTTACACATCACAGGTGTCCTCGTGGTTATTATAGAAATTTAGTTTTTAAAAAAGGGTTTTGCCCTTTTAATTATATTTAGGAAAATAACTTCACACATCATAAGTCTAATAAACATGCCCCACCAAAAGAAGCAGACTCAAAACTTTTAACTGACATCTCGCACTTTTTTAATTTGATGTTTTTGTGCAGAATTAGTGCAGCAGGATAGCATTCCTCTTGAAATAACAGGAGCCACTTGTGTTGTTTGTTATTTAATTTAACGTAATTAAATTATAAGCTGTGGGTGGTCTTTGTAACACATTCTGTCTTATGGTATTTATTTGATGTAGTACATTTATTGTGAAAGTCTTTACCAAGTTAAGGTAAGTATTTTGGTAAGTACAGTATTTCGTAATTAGTGAAGTGTCACTATTTCCAAATACCTTACCCTCACTCTGTTTTCTGAAACTGAAAATTGGATTTTAAAGTCATATTTCCTCCTCCTCCAGGTCACTTCCTGTTGACATATTTGTTGCTTGACCTGATTAAAAAGTCGGCACCCGCTAGGATTATCAATGTATCTTCCATGGCTCACTCCTGGGGCTCCATAAATCTAGAGGACCTCAACAGTGAGAAGCATTACGACAAGAATAAAGCCTATGCTCAAAGCAAGCTAGCCAATGTCCTCTTCACCCGATCACTGGCTAAACGATTAGAAGGTAAATAATGCACCTTACACGCTGTCATTTCTTTCTTTTAATTTGCCAGTTTTCTGTTCAAATCAAATGCATGACTAGTAGCTTTACCGTTGATGATTTCATTCACTTTTTCCTTACTTTTAGGCACAGGAGTGACGACCTACTCTCTCCATCCTGGAGTTGTTCAGACTGAGTTATGGCGTCATCTGAATGGTGTCCAGCAATTCTTCATGAAGATGGTCAGTCCTTTTACCAAAAACTCTGTCCAGGGAGCGCAGACAACAATTTACTGTGCTGTTGACCCATCATTAGAGAAGGAGAGTGGCGGATACTACAGGTACACTTTTTGCTGTAACACACAGAAATTATATTGCAGCTTGTTACACATAATCTAGTAGCATATTAATACAGTGGCTTTCAACACTTAGTAGTTTTAGACCAATGAAAGGTAAACATGATGTTTAACTCATCAGCTCAGAGTAAAGAGTACTTTCTCAGATTTTGCAATCTGGAAACTAAATCAGATGAATAGTAAAGATATTTGCCATGAAGCAGTTATTTAAAGGTGTGAAATATGAAGCGAGATAAATGTCCAGTTAAAGTCAGTTTTCTGTGTCCCAAAAGTGTCTCTCTTTTAACCTGGACAAATCACTGTGATGACTTAAGCCGAAGACATGTTCAAGGTTTTAGTGAAAAATGTAATGCATTTAATACCATGTTTTAAATGCAATATAGATTCCCTGGTAGGTGAATACATGTCATATGTGGAACTTAGACGTGAATTACTAACATCACAAATGAAGCTAAGCTGCAACGTTACAGCAGTGTAAACTGTGCACATATTGTCACCTGAATGTGCTTCAATTCATTTGGCAATGCAGAAAACGTATGCATGTTTGTATACTTGATTCAAATCTGCTGCAAAGTCTCATTTTACACTCCTGGCAAAGCAGCTCCTAGAACACAGAATAGAATAGGATTTCCTCATTGTTACAGTAACATTTACAACAAAATTAAGTGCAATCTCAAGAGTGTAAAGATCATTAACAGCAGTCTATAAACTGTAAACTATAAACTGTAAAAGAAAACAAACTATGTAAGATAAATAATACAAAAGCAACCTGTCTCTATTCTCTCAAATTGCACAACCCCTAATTACACCAATCACATTCAAGTGGACATTGTAGCATTTTAATACTTTTTATAGCTCTGAGAGAAAAACTGCTATTCAGTCCTTCTGTCCTTTCTCTAACTGCACTGTCTGGCAGATGGTAAGAGTTCAACAAGTAGGTGACCAGGGAGAGATGTATCCATTATGAAATTTTTAGAATCAGAATCACTTTTATTGCCAAGTTTGTACACAGTGTCATGGTGCAAAAATATATATATATATAATATATACAACTCTATATAAATATTACAAATAAGTACACAGAAAAAGAGTGTATATAAACTACCTACAGATATAAATATTATATTAGATATTATAACTATAATGTTTAATATTTAAAAGACTTAGTATCAAATTAGAGAGCACACATTTGTTAAAATGTCCATTCTGCCGCACTAGATCTCAAGTTTAGCAGTTTTTTGTGGCATTAATCTTGCTTCCTATATTTGAAACAGTGAAACATTTTACTGGGGGGGGGTTAAATCTTCTTTGTACATTTCTGTCACCTTTTATGGTCATTATCTGATAACATCTCGAGTAGGCGGCACCCATAGCGATTATTTTGTGGAGAAGAGCTTGAAGAATGAAGAATGAAACAGCAGTTTTTATGTTAGTGTGCACAGATCCTAAAACAAATATAGTTTGTAACCATCACCTCTATCTGTTATCACTGACTGGGGTTTTAGGCTTTGTCAAGTCAGCTAATGCAAAGAAAACACGACTGTGATGAATTCCCATCTTAGTACAAACCTCTGGACTGGCAGGCATCCATCCATTCGCTTCTGCTTATCCTTTTCAGGATTGCGGGGGGTGCTGGAGCCTATCTCAGCTGTCTTAGGGAGAGAATCTGGGTACACCCTGGACAGGTCGCCAGTCTCTCGCAGGGCTGACAGACAACCAATTGTACAACCAAATTTCCCCTTGTGGGACAATTAAAATATTAAAGGATTATTCTAACCATTCGCACTCACATTCACTCCCACATTCACACCTATGGGCAAATTAGATTGATCATTTAACCTGTCCCCACCAACTGCATGTCTTTGGACTGTGGGAGGAAGCTGGTGTACCCGGAGAGAACCCACGCAAACACGGGGACAACATGCAAACTCCAGACAGAAAGACCCCAGCCTAATGGTGGAATTGAACTTAGGACCTTCTTGCTGTGCGGCAACAGTGCTAACCCACAATTTTCAGGCAAAATATATGAAATAACAGCTTCTCTCCATTAAAGAAAGTCGGAAGCAAAATGAATTATTCAAATGCAACGCAGAACAGAAAGTATTTAAAAACTGCAGGACTGTATTTTTTGATTTTGTTAAATAAATAAAAAAGTGTAGATTATTCTACATTATTTGGTTACAACTGAATATTAAATTCCTAAAACATTTTTAATGGCAAACTTTTGATTCATTGGATGTTCTTCATGCTTGCTAGTGTACAAATTTAGAAAAAGAAGCCACTGTTAATGTTGACTTATAGTCTTTAAGCAACAGTGGCTGACAAGCAGTGTTATTTGCTCATAAAATGTTCGTGTTACACAAGTGAACAAAGTGCTTACGTGATACATCCTTGCTTACAGTGACTGTGCTCCTGCTAACTGTTCTGCGGCTGCCAAAGACGACAACGTGGGGGAGAAGCTGTGGGAGCTGAGCTGCAGTTTGCTCTCTTTAACGTGGGACTGAGACATTCAGAACTGAAAATAAAATCCTGGCAGTGTATTTTGTTTCTTTATTACCTGATGATTTCATTATAATGTAGGCCGCGACAATCTTTAAACACTTCATTTTTATCTCAACAACACAGCTGTAAAACTTTAATCTTCACGCTGCACAGTTCTGACGTTTTATTTGTTCCTTGGAAAGAATTTATTATGGTCACATTTGCCTTTGACTCACACAGTGAAACTGGTAACTACACTGTAATTCTGTGAATAGCAAGTGTAAGATCAGGGGAAAGCTTATAATACTGATTTATAAAAATTAAAAGAAGCTTAAATATTTGGTTTATCAATGTTTAATACAAGATGTGTAATTAATTGGATAATATCTGCATGATAATTCATAATAGACTGCAGTCTTGTCTACATTGTTTACAAAAACTTTTTTTTTACTTTCTGACATTAAACAGACTTATGGAGAGCGTTCATTTGTTTCTGTCTGCTTTCAAAAAATGTTTAGGTTAATTGTGTTATCGCCAGTATTATATTAGTCAACTGGATCAATATCACCTAAATTTTTACGGCCTCATTAATCCATAAAAGAATTTATAGTCTAGTTTTTTGCAATAAACATATCTTATAATTGGTAGCTACACACAGTTGTTAATGTAATTTTCTTTACAGTAAGCTTACTGTAAATAACAGTTACTTCACTGTAGATAGACAAAACACACAGCAAAAATAAATAAATGTGCAGTAACTACTAGAGATGTCATGATACCACTTTATGTCCGATACCGATATCATGAATTTGGATATCTGCCGATACCAATATGAATCCGATATAATGTGTTTTTTAATCAATAAAACTTTTTTAATATCTTGCTGCATTTTGTATAAGTTCATAGTCAAGTTTAAATAAACAACAGCACTAAAGCTATTCTGTTATACCTGTGTGTAAAAAGTACACTGCGCCCAAAATATTTCATAGTTCAGCAACACT